AATAAAAACAAAAATCACTAAAATCATTTTTCCTAATTAACTGAATGCGTTTACGAAGCACTTAATACGCTTATTACGTGTAGTTTTGAGAGCTCTATGAAGTATTATAACAATTCTGAATTAAATGTTATTAGTTAACGAGTGAGAATATTTTTGCATAATTTTGAAGTAAAAAAATAGGTAACTTTGAATTTTTATACCGCGAAAACTACGTGGAATTTTCAAACGGGAGTTTTACTATCATGTTTGTATAACTGAGCTCTATACGTTTCATCAAATCAATGAGAATGTCCGTTTATACAGTCCCATAACACACTGTGCGCCGGTCTGCGGTGTTCCGCGAAGGCTTTGATGAAATGATACTACAGAATGACTTGCTAGTGATGGTTTACTCGTAGTTTAAAATTTACAATATTATGGAAAATTAATGTTTGTCACTCGGTAGTTGAAAGCGCACTGATTTTACTACGATGACTGCGGCGTTCGCGCCGCCGCTGTTTGACGTGAGACGATGTTGCCATGCTTCAAGCATCAGGCGTTAGGCCTGAACAGTCATAAATTATAGCCTATATGTTATTCTGGGTTATAAACAATAATACTGTAAAGTTTCATCAAAATCCGTTCAGTAGTTTTTGCTTGAAAGAGTAACAAACATCCAGACATCCAAACTTTCGCATTTATAATATTAGTAGGAGTAGGAAGTAGGATGTATTAAGTGATACCTAGTTATAATTTTTTTTCTGGCGTTAAGAGTCGCCTCTCGAAATAAATATTTTTCACGGGTTTCTGTCGAATCGCCTGATTTTTTATGCCTGATAAAATTGTCTATGGCACACAAACTTTAAGCGTAAAATTTTTTATACAATATTGTTTGGCCGAATTTTGTTTAGCAACTTTTTATTACGCCTAACTTTCTTTTGACGAAAGTTAATTTCCCAAATGCGAATCCCATTTGGCGAACGTTTTATAATGCATAATGATTATAATCAGGGATGTTATGGATATCCGTAACCGTAACCGAAACATTCGGATATCCGAAAAAAATATATCCGGAAGCGTAACCATAACCGATTCAAAAGTTTCGGATAGTTTCGGATGTAGGCAGTTTAAATTGTTTTTTGTATGGCATTATATGCACCGGCATAACAGCCTGATTTACTTTTATTGCTTTTTATTCGATGTAAAGTGTGCGACCATGAATTAACCGTGTTGGAAAACTATTGCTAATTGCATTCTAAAGCACAGATAGTCCGTAACCGTAACCGAAACTTTCGGATATCCGAAATAAAAAAATATTCGTAACCGAAACCGAAACCGGTATAATATTATTCCTATATCCGTAACCGTATCCATAACCGAAACTACATATCCATAACATCCCTAATTACAATTACCGTAAAAAGTCTTCCTTCCTAGAATAATAAATATGCAACTCAAATATTTGTAATCTTATTTTTGCGAAACAAAAGGTCCTGACTTTAGATAGGTACAAAGACGTTTAAGTGTTAACTCGATAACGTTTAATTATAAATATAAACATTAAGTCGAGTCTTGATTAGTCATTCTGGTGACATATACCGGAGAGGTGAGTCGATTGATATACCTAACTATTTATTTATTTATTTACTAACTGTGCCCCGCTGTGTTACCGCAGCGTATGTGTTAATCCAGGGTGTCAGCTAACTCCATACCAAATTTTATTAAAGCTCCAGCCGTTTAGACGTGAATAAATAACAATCACACACACTCACAAACTTTCGTCTTTTTAATATTATGTTTAGTGTGATGTAAGAATTAATTGATTAAATCGACTATTGTGATGAACCCACTGAAATATAATATTTAGCTTACCACGAGGCGAGGGGTTAACGGGATTATACACATAGCAATATTTAAAAAAAAACATATGTTTTTAAAACTAACCAAATGTATAAAAAACATGTTTAAATAAAATATTTGTAAATGTATAAAGTCGAATTTAATGTTTATCACATTTTTTAGTTAACTATTATGGAGATTAATCATCTACTTATACAGGGTGTCCCAGAATTCGTGAATCAAACTGATAATAGGGGAGGTCTCTACTAATGTACTATCCCTAAAAAATATGAAAAAAATAAAGCGCATAAGGAAACAAAAAAAAAATGTTTGGAAAAGTGAAAATAAATCAGCTTTGTTTAAGTATCTGGCTATAATTGCGTTTGGAGTTTATTTGTACTTTTTTCTTACTAATATTAATTGTAGTACATGATTGCTTCGTTTATCTGTAAACAAACTTTTGAAAATAATGACTGGATTTCGAGTTTAGAGCACATTATTTAAAAAAAAATCCGAACCCAAATTTTTTTTTTCATATTTCTTAGGTATATGTATTAGTAGAGCTACCTCCCCTAGCAGTTTGATTCACCTATTCTGGAACACCCACGTATAAAAAGAGTGTTAAAAATGAATCCCTACTTTGATTGGCCTAATTATTTTTTATTGCGTTTCTTATTGTCGGGAATTAAGAAATGAAGAAGTCTTGAACACTGAAATTTTGATGAAATTTGGTATACAGATAGTTTGAGTCCCGGGAAAGGACATATTAGGATAGTTTTTATCCCGGTTTTTGAAACAGGGACGCGCGCGATAAAGTTTTTCTGTGACAGACAAAATTCCACGCGGGCGAAGCCGTGGGCGGAAAGCTAGTAAAAGTATAAACGTTGCATCAAAATCCGTTCAATAGTTATTTTAGTTGTATCAGTTGCCAAATGGTGTTAATTTGACTAAACAGTTCTAGATTTGAGTTGTAAACAACTAAAGTGTTACATAACCGACTGACACAGAGTTTATGTCAACAGAGATATCACTTGTCTTGGCCTGCGATAATAAACCTAACTTAACTACTTATAGGCAACGATTAAAACGAATACTTATTTATCACCCAATTAATAACTTAAACTACCATTTATTACTTACTTAGTACTTATAGCGGTACTAGCTTTCCACCCGCGGCTTAGTCCGCGTGACATTTTGTCTGTCACAGAAACACTTTATCGCGCGCGTCCCTGTTTCAAAAACCGGGATAAAAACTATACTATGTCCTTTCCCGGGACTCAAACTATATCTAAGCCAAATTTCATCAAAATCGGTTCTGTGGTTTAAGCGTGAAAGCAAGACAGACAGACAAACAAAGTTATTTTCGCATTTATAATTTAGTATACATAGAGTATAGAAGTATAGATAAGTATACGCGGTATTACTTTGCATCCTTGCCATATTCACATACTTAGATAAAAGTAGCGTAAAATGCCTATCATTTTACAAACAAGAGACTCCCTTAATAGAGTCTTACTTGGCTCACTTTTAGCATGGTCCACGGGCCAAGTCGTTGGATTGTATTATTTTGTCTTCCAGCAACTGGGCCCTTTTTTACTGATTTCAGTAACCTAGAGTGTCAGTATTAACGTATTGAATATCGGCAGATATTATGGGCGAGCTCGCTACAGCGCATATTGGTTAGCTTGAGACTTGAACTCAAAACCGCGTACTATTATGAGCTAAGCTTTTCAATGTCACAACTCTCCTCGGTCTTCCCTACTTTAATACATGTGCTTTGTAATAAATAATAATTAGCCCAGTGTGAATTTAGAGTAATTAAATGTAGATACATTTATTTTATAGTGAAAAAAGACTTTCTCTTTACTTCATTTTATTTTTATTGTCCATTTTTCTTCTTGCAGTTATACAACTACTAATGTAACTCAGTGAAGTTTCGAATATCTACAAACAGGAATTTGGATTTAGTTTCACTTTGCGATAGCCTTTTATATAGGCCTTACGTTTCTACTGTCACCGTTCTACTTCTACCTACCAGCACATCATTAAAATAAACAGTTTTTCTCACTCACTCAATCTTTTTCAGACACCATGAATACCTTGGCCACCTTTACGGCACTGCTTCTGGTCGGGCTGGCGTCCACCAAGCCCACCACCAATGACGACACCCTGCACATCGTCGAAGATTTATTCCCCGAAGAATTCGTCATTTACACCGGAGAGAAAGATATCACCAAAATAGTCGTCCCACTCAACTCCATAAACTTCGATGACAAAGAAGATGTAGAAGAAACCTCCGATGATGAAAACATCTATGTCTTCTTCATCGAAGAAGGTAAAGGCCTCTCTGTCTTGAAAAACAAACAAGCAACCAAGCTACTCGAAAACGGCAACGACATCTCCGCGTCCAGTGACCAAAGCAAAGAAGTATACTTCGCAGCTTCCGACGGCATCTACAGATTCAATGAACAGGAGAAAAAAGCCGAAAAATATGGTACAGTGACTGACAATACTATCGCCATCGCTGTCATTAACGGCACCAACGATTTCTACATTCTAACAGCAGAAAATGTTGTTTACAAAGTCACGGATGATGGCACTAGAAAGGAAGAGATAACCAATGTAAAGGACGCCCAGCAAATTTTGTTGGACTCGGCTAACAATTTGTACTTCGTGGATAATAAGAAACACGTCTATGTTAGACTTGCCGAAGACGGTACCGTAAAGAGCATTAAAGGCCTACCAGCGCATCCTTCTGATGTTCAGCTTTTGAGGCCACCTTTCGTCGTAGAAGAGGCTGTTCCAGTCGTAGCTGGTAAGAAAACGTACTTGGCATACGCAAATGGCACCTCTGAATTTGCAGACATAATTTTAGATACGAAGCCAAGTGCCATCTCTTTTGAGACGACTCTTTTAATATTTGCGGGACATAATAACAAAATTTACGAGTACAACCTGCTCGCTATCGTGTTGACCGAAATGGCAAAAGAAGAATTGTCAGATGATATGAAAGAAGTAAAATCGTTCTTCTCCGACCAAACCTCGAACATCCAGTCGATTGCGACCAGATCTAGGAGTAGTTTTCGTGCTTAATTGACACGTCAGGTGATCTTCTATACGTTTATATTTTCAATTAAAACCATTATATTGAAACCATTGTTTGTCTTTTCTAAACGAATCCTTAGTTTACTAACAGAAATAATTACAACAGGATCAAAATTAAACAAAAATGTTCTGTGCTTAAAATTATTATTATGCATTCAGATTTATTGACTTAGCTGACACGTTTACTTACTCGCAAATCGCAATAAAGTCGATTTGAAGATACCATTATTATTAATTAATTGCATGACTACAATTTTGATCACATTATTTCACTTCCAGTGAAAAATTAAACGTAATACATACTAATGTAATATCATACAAACTGTACACTTTTTCTCAAATGAAACTATAGCACACCAGCATAATTCCAACCTCTGTGAAACCCATGGATACTTTCTCTAGCCGAATCTATTATAGACATTACAATTTTAGTGACATCTCTCGGCCACTCTGTCGCTAACCCAAACATGGATCTTAGAAGAACTTCCATCACATTAAACTCGTATATTTTCCCATCTAATGCAGCAACCAAGTACAAAGCTGCGTCGACACTGAAAGCAGTGGGTTTCTCATCCAGATAAAAGTCCTTCTTCTCGCTTGTACCATTGGCATATAACAGATACAAGTGCCCATCTCCAAAGAACGGCACACAGCCCTCCATGATGAAAGCTGGGCGTATCAACTTTATGTCTTTGAAATCCTCAATCACGCTAGCTGTGAACGATAACGGACGACCGTCAGATTTGACTATATGAGGCATGTGGTCATCACACGCCAAGTAGTAGATGTTATTGGAAGTATCCAGAACGAATTCGAAGGCGCACGGTATGGATTGCACCCTCGTCTTCACAGTGCCGTTCTTTTCGATTTTGTAGATTCTGTGATCGCTGGTCAATATGAAGATAGCATCAGAGCCGTTTGCTTTCTGCAGTTGTATGATATCATCTCTAAATGGACCGTACTTTTTTGCTGATAGTGAATCTGGGTAGTACTTGTAAATGCCGTCTCTAGCTCCGAAGAATATGGTCTTACTGAAGCTGTAATCTGCAGTAGCATCACGCCCTCCTTCTAGGATTTCGTAAGCGGCGAATCCTTCTAGCACATAGATGCAGCTGCCCCCTTCTAGCTTCGAGTCGGATATGGCGAAGAAGATAGAGGGTATTTCTGAGGATTCCGTCTGGATGTACTTGCTGCCATCTGCTGGCACGAGGAGCTTGGTGATGTTGAAATCAGAAGCGAATATGATCTGCTCGTTCTTGAACATGCTGGTATTCTTCTTCGATATGAAGTAGCGGCAGTTGATGGTGGTTATGAAGAACACGGCGATTATTGTCTGCCACATTGTTTATCTGAAAGATAATGTAATAAAATAAATTCACCCAAGCTTAGTTATTTTTTTACTTTAACCTAGTGTTCATGTTAATTTGAACAATTACATTCATAAAAATTGGGTAGTTGACACCGCAGGATATCTACCATCAATAATTTACTAGAGGCAAATAAAGGATTTGGCCGAAGATCGCATATTATTATAATGTTCTTACCTATACATAGCATATACCCGCATAGAGTTGATTAAACAAAATACCTATCATAGCCATGTTTTGTGAACGAGACCTTTGTACGCAGACCAAATTATAAAATATTATTCTGCTTTTAAAAGCATACTAGCGGCCGCCCGCGACTTCGTACGCGTGGATCCCGTTTTACCCGTCTTATGAGCACCTACGTTCTAAAAGGAACCCCGATGCAAAATTTGGGACTCCTAGCACTTGTAGTTTCTGAAATTTCGTGATGAGTGTGAGTCAGTCAGTCAATAAGTCAGTGACCTTTCGCTTTTATAAATATAGATTACTAGCCCAGTAATGCAGGGTCCCGAAAAACGGGATGTCGTATGAAGTGAAAAAACTTCTGTGTCAAAAATCAGTTCTTTAAAAACTGGGTCTCCGTGGGAACAAGTCCTAATGCGCAAAATCCCTACAAATATTATAATACTAGTAACTGCGAAAGTAACTCTGTCTGTCTGTGTCGCTTTCACGCCTAAACCACTGAACTTATTGTGATGAAAGGTATAAAGATAGTTTGAGTCCCGGGAAAGGACATAGGATAGTTTTTATCCCGGTTTTTGAAACAGTAACGCGCGCGATAAAGTTTTTCTGCTGCAGACAAAATTTCCATGTTGCCCAGGGTGCAGTCCTGTTGTCCCCCCTGCTTGGCCCCCCTAGGGGAGCCAACAGGATTTCGAAATACTGTTGTCCCCCCTGGCTAGGGGAGACAACAGGACTAGATTTTTAAGCAATGATTTGAGGACTGTTGTCCCCCCTGGCAAAAATTATTTAAAAGCCATAAAATTTTATAACATTTAAGAAGGACTGGAGTACCTGAATGAATGGCAAATTGCCAAACTGAATACCTAAACGTATGTCAAATAATATTAACATTTGGATAACGAAAAAAATATAAGTTCTTGGTACCGGTACTATTTCAGACTATTTCAAAATCTGCTTTACTTGCTTTTGACAAAATCTTTATGAATNAGTTTGGCATTCAGTCAAATGCTTCAGTTTTTCATAAATTATGCTATAAAAAATTATGGCTTTTAAATAATTTTTACCAGGGGGGACAACAGTCCTCAAATCATTGATTAAAAATCTAGTCCTGTTGTCTCCCCTAGCCAGGGGGGACAACAGGATTTCGAAATCCTGTTGGCTCCCCTAGGGGGGCCAAGTTGGGGGGACAACAGGACTGCACCGTTGCCCAGTTGGTAGCGGCCTGCGTCCAGCAACATGGAAAGCATTGGGGGAGGCCTATGTTCAGCAGTGGACGTCCTATGGCTGAGATGATGATGATGATACAAAATTTCACGCGGGCGAAGCCGCGGGCGTAAAGCTAGTAATTTATAAGTAGGTACGCGACAAATAATAACTTGTCTCTCTCCTCTGTCTAATGAATACTAAAATTAATGTACATTGGTTCAAAGGTCTCAATATAAAAAGATAACGAACAGACAGCGAGTTACTTTAGCATTTTTACATAATAGCACAGAATAAGTAATAATAATAGGGACATAGATTACAAATAATACTAGTAGTATGGATAACCTTTGTTTTGTTACCTGTCCTTCGCTTTGCAATGAAGGGAAGACGAACCTTAACTTCGAACTCCTCCTATGTTCTTCTGATTAAGTTCGTGGCGGGCCCAATGACAGTTTAAATTTCCCCCGGGACAAACTTGACCTTCACTGGTGGGTTTTTACTGGCGGTCAAGCTGTAGATCCTGGGTACACAGGAGTTGCAGCGGTGGGAACGAGAGGTGGGAATAGTCTCGTAGATATTTTTTGGGTACAATGGCAATATCAATTGGCTAGGGTGGACAGAACTGAACTAATGCGCATATTAAGGCTGTTATCAGCTCAAATAGTGTCTTAAACCACCAACTGGTTAAACGTTATGTAATATTACATAACTAGTTAAAATTTAACCAAAAAACCTCATCAAAACACGGAACCGTCTCACATTATTTTGTAAGGATCGGCTCAGCGGCGCACGCGCACGCGAGCGTTCATTTGACCGTGAAATGGGCGTTTCCATTGCGTAGAAAGTGAAGACGAATCGAATTTCAAGCGACAATAGAAAAACTATATACAGGGTGTCCCAGAATGGGTGAATCAAACTGCTAGGGGAGGTAGCTGTACTAATGTACTATCCCTAAAAAATATGAAAAAAAATTGAGCCCGGATTTTTTTTTAAATAAAGTGCTCTAAACTCTAAATCTAGTCATTATTTTCAAAAGTTTGTTTACAGATAAACGAAGCGATCATGTAAAATTAATATTAGTAAGAAAAAAGTACAAATAAACTCCAAACGCAACAATTATAGCAAGATACTTGGGCAAAGCTGATTTATTTTCACTTTTTCAAAAAAAATTTTTTTTTGTGTCCTTATGCGCTTTATTTTTTTTACATATTTTTAGGGATAGTACATTAGTAGAGCTACCTCCCCTATCACTTTGATTCTGGCACACCCTGTATAACCGCCTCTGTGGTCTAGTCGTAAGACCACCTGCTTCAGACGCAGAGGTCCCGGGTTCGATTCCCAGTGGGGGCAGATTTTTCTGTTCGGTTTGGTTGGTGGTAGGGCTTTTTCTAAGTCCGCCTGGCTAGCTACCACCATCTTACCTAAGTCTGTCGCCATTACAACTATGTTAACAGCATTGTTGTGTTTCGGCAGTTAGAGGTAAGATAGCCAGTTCCTCCGTGGTTGAGGATTCCGGGTGAAGCTTGCTTCCACCTTCGGCCTGATCATCAATTACCATCAGGTGAGAAAATACAGGCCAAGAGCTTCCTCGTTGTTGTTAAAAAAGAAAGATCTAATTGTAATGTCAAAAAAATAGCGCCCGCGGTTGACCAGCTTCTTGACATTCCCTTTCAAAATGTCAATGATGAAAAGCCTAATGGCATAGTTTAACTACCATTTTTTATTGGTTTCTGTAACTATGTAATCAATGTGACTGTGTCAATCCATGTTTTCTATTTCAAAAAATTGAAAGCAGAACAGACGGCTGATGGGGCAGCAAGGTTCTGGAAAGGAGGCCACGTACCGGAAAACGCAGCGTGGAATGTCCACCCACAAGGTGGACCGACGACCTCATAAAGGTAACATAAAGCAGGAAGTCGCTGGATGCAATCAAATCTAACCGGGTGATGTGGAAGTTATTGGAGGAGGCCTATGTTCAGCAGTGGACGTCCTGTGGCTGAAATGAAGATGATGATAAACGATGGAGGTGTCGGATTGGCCGACTCGAGATCAAATTAAGGAACGCGGGTTCGAACTAGGGGTCGCAATACCGAATCATTTCAGCAAAACCGGTATTTTCGGTATTGGCTCTAAATCAATACCGGTAATCCGGTATTTTCGATATTTCCGGGATTAAGCTAAAGTTAGCAAATTTTGTATAATAAAGTTATTTTGCGGAGGAATAGTAAGTAGCTAGGTACCTAACCTAAATTAATTTATCTTCTAAGGGCTGATTTTTTAATTATCAAATAACTTTTAACTGACGAATAAATTTGTCATTTTGACATATTTCCCATACTGAAACTATCAATATGCCAAAATTATTCTTCAGTTAAGAGTTATCCAACGATTGAAAAATCAGCTCTAAATAAAACAAAATACTAATTGACACAAGGTTTGTTGTTTGATATGTTCAGTATCAGTTCTTTGCAATAATTTACTAATTCAACGATGTCTCTGTGATCAACTCGGTCAAAACAGGAAGCGATCACCGAATGGTGAGGCACATTGAATATCAGAGACCCAAGCTCAAAAGATGTCGACTGATGAAGTCTACGCTCCGCCCAGCGCCTATCCTATCCAAGTCAAAAACCCCGAAAGCTTTCAGCTCGAATTGCAAAATCGTTTCGAATGCCTAGGAGACTGCGGAAATGTGGACGAATACAATGACAGGTTCGTGGAAATNTATGAAAAAACCTGCGCAAATAATGCATTAATTTAAAACAGATTTCTTTTTGCATAAAAAGGGTTACTATGAGCCAACCTTAAAAGATAGACATATGCTATCGCGGACTTTTTTTTAGAACTTTTAAAGGGGAACAATTCTGTCATACATGACTTTTGCGAAACTTTAACCGTTTACGCAGCGTCAGCTCTCAAAAGGAAAAAAATCACTGATTTGAAACATTCTTCATTGGTGCTCCGCTCCTATTGGTCTTAGCGTGATGATATATAGCCTAAAGCCTTCAGGAACTAACGGGCTATCCAACACAAAAAGAATTTTTCAAATCGGTCCAGTAGTTTCTGAGATTAGCGCGTTCAACCAAACAAACAAACAAACAAACAAACAAACAAACTCTTCAGCTTTATAATATTAGTATAGATAGCATAGATCCTTGGGCAAATAGTTATCTGAGAAAATTTTTAGATTTAAGCATTTTAAAATAAGAAATCACAAATTAAAAGAACGTGAAATACCCAAAAATCAAAGTGATTTTTTCACCAATATTCTTCCTTTATTCAACATAAAAAGAGCTTAATATAATAATACAACATCTTCTTTAAAATATTTACTTTGAAACGATATTTAATTCATTGTTATTGCTTTGCTATGAACATTTGAAAACTATTAAAAAACGCCGCGCGCGAATCATTTCCAATGATGCCCCTTGAAACGCCGCGCTTCGCGTAAACGCTCTTAAATGCTTCTTTAAAAAAACATTTTTAGTCGCAGGACGTTGTCCTCTATTACACGAGGCTTAATTAATACTTTCACTGCCTAATTTAATACAATACCAGAAAAATTTTTTGTACAAATGGCATTTCAAGCTTAATTACCATTGTGACATCTTTATTACACTGTAATAAGTACTAAATTGCAAGAGAATTAAATAATGTTAAAGTACTGTCGACTGTACTTCATCATTGTTTGATTTGATAAATAAATCACTGGGTCAACATTAATTATTGTCTTTTGCAATTATTATTATTGTTTATTTAGTACTGTACTTATCATTAACTTCACGAGGATTTAAAACTGCATTTGAAGCAATTATTTTTTATTATTGGACATTAATACGCGTATTATATTTATTTATATCGCTCTAATTTTAATAAATTATACTATCACTTGTAGAATGTAGTATTTAATTTGTTAAGTTGCCAAAATAATTGAAAATGAAAACGAAATAAATAGTTTATAATTTTATACTAGCGGCCGCCTACGATGTCGCTCGTACGCGTGGATCCCGTTTTACCCCCTTAGGGGTGGATTTTCGTAAAATCCTTTCTTAGCGGATGGCTACGTCATAACATCTACCTGCATGCCAAATTTCAGCCCGATCCGTCCAGTGGTTTGGGCTGTGCGTTGATAGATCACTATGTCAGTCAGTCAGTCACCTTTGAGTTTATTATTTAGATAGACTAGCTGACCCGGCAAACTTTGTACCGCCTATGTTCATCAGAAATAATATTGAATTCTATTGGTGAAAGAATTTTGCAAATCGGTCCAGTAGTTTATAGTTCAGTCATTAAAAAATTAATATAATGTCAAAACCATTTTCTAACCAACGAAATTTATTTCAGAATACCACAATGCTAAGATACCTGTTACTGATCGCTATATCGTCAGTGGCATCAGAACCGTGTGCCTACGTGTACGACGGCCAAAACTACGAGAGGACCGCCATTTTGACCATAAAGGGCCTGCCCACCAACCTCGCCATCAACCCAAATAATAAAGACATATTCTTCACTCTAATTGACCTAGATTCTCTCCACAATGATGATGAGCAGACCAAAATGGACCAGTACTTCCTAAGAAACGGAATGCCCATGAAAATCGACAATGTCCATGGTCAAGCGGCAGCGGTCGACGCCAAAAACAACAAAGTTTATATAGCTAGCGATGATGGCTTGAATGTACTGAACAAAACGGATAAAGCACACTTCTTGAGTCTCAAAGACGAAGATATTGTCATGCTGTACAAACCAGAGCACAATGATGAGCTATACGCAGTCATTTACCCTGACAATGAGGTGTACAGTATCAATTTGAAGAAAAACGAGAAAAAAAAGATTGACAATATACCCTGTGCCTTCATTTTAGCTGTAGATTCTGATGATAATATTTATTACGAATGTAATGCTAAGTATGTTAAGGTTCTGTTGAAAGATTTTCAGGAGCCTATTGAATTCGCTGGTATAGGAAGAAATACAGCTAGAGCGATGACGGTAGATGGTAATAACAGGGTAGTTTTGGCAGCAAATGATGGGCTATACCAATTGAGACCCGACTCGATGATTCCAAGGAAGCTGATGAATCTGGACTTTATTCCATCAGGAATAACGTTTGATGGGGACGACATGTATTTAGCAAGCAACGGGGTAATCTATAAGTACAGTGCGGATGAGTGCGAATAGGCGAATAAAGACTGATTTTAGAAACTAATTTTATTTACAAGACCTATGTATACCATGTGTCTTCCTAAATGGATGGTAAGTACGAGAAAAACGAGGCACTTCAAATTATACCATCGACTAAGTTTTTCCCACACATTCTGACAATTTGACAAAGTAAAAGACTAGTGATGTAAGATTCTTTTGATTAATTTCGTTGCGGGTCCAAGTTTCCCCCGGGACAAACTTGACCTTCATTGGTTGGGTTTTTGTGGCGGTCAAACTGTAGATCCTGGATACACAGGAGTTGCAGTGGTGGGAACGAGAGGTGGGAATAGTCCCGTTTAGTGATGTAAGATTACATCACTTTAGCATTAGGCGCATTAGCATTTTATGAAGATTGTCTATCTAAGATAGAGAAGAAGTTTTCTAATAGATACTCCGTGGCCTAGTGGTAAGAAATAAAGATTTTCCTGATCTGACGGGTCTGGGTTCGATTCCCATGTGGTCTATATAAATCACTGCAGTCAAATCACTTTGTGTATTTGTACCCAATTTAATTTCAGGCTTGAATTAACCTGATTGTAAGAAAAAGTTTTGTGATTAGATACTTTGGAAAATTCCTAGACGCCTATAAATAATGGCGCCTGATAATATCTGACACTAGGTTTGTAACCTCAGTTGGTAAAAAATAATAGAAAAAACAAAAAACATTCGTTGACGAGAAATTACATAAACTCTAGCCCTTTACCAATGCAAAATTAATTAAACATCAATTAAATGTCATCGGCTATAACTTTCACATAATCACTAACGATCAATCAATCACATCAAGTGCCATGTCATCCATAATTAATCAAAACTTTTTCAATAAAGAAAATAATTTGTTATTTATTAGACTCAGGTCATATAGTCTCCACTCCAGGAGCACGACCCTCTCTAATTTTTATTTTTTATTAATAATTTAAAAATAAAGAAAAGAAAAGAAAAAAATTACCAGAGGCAAATGGAGGATTTGGCATACACTCCCCACGCTGGCCAGACGGGTTGGGGAGGCCTGTCGTTCGCATATTCTCCTATAAATAGTCGCCACTTACGACATCCATGGGAAATTTAGGGACAAACTTGACCTTCACAGGTTGGGTTTTAATTGGCGGTCAAGCTGTAGATCCTGGCAACACAGGAGTTGCAGCGGTGGGAACGAAAGGTGGGAAAAGTCTCCTAAACTTAGGAAAAAACTTCGATTACATGCAGGTAATTATGGGATACTTCTATCGAACTCTATGTTGATCTGGTGGCAACTGTTAAGGAGTCATGTTCCAAACACAACACTGGGTTCGATTCCCAGATGAAACATAAAATAATAAGCGGTGTGTTAGAGGAAGAATAATGTCATAGTGACAAATTAGATGACAAAATTGAAATCAGCTCGTCTATTAAATATAAAATTACCAAAAGAAATCTATGAAAGAATCGCATTTTGACAGCATAATTAATTGAAACTGGACTTACTATCCTTTTGCTACTCGTATAGGTATTAGTAACCTACAAAATCAATTAAAATTTTAAGACTATGATATTATTATCAACTCATAAAACATGGCCATTGATTGGTGGTATCAACTACCCTAATAATACGACAATTAATAAAAAAACAATCAGTAAAGTTTTTAAAAATACTTACCAGATTATTTAGAAAGGTTCTTCAGACAAACGACTGGCAAACTCGAGGGCTGTCTATGGACAGTATCAAAATTCATAATAAACTAGACCATGTTTAGATTTATGACGCGAACCTAAATTACACATATTGCATCACTATTTTTCTAGACACTCTAAATTGTTCTATACAGGGTGTTCACAAGAACAATCTTAACAGCTGGTGTAGTGATAAGACCGTCTGTCTCAAAACCAGAAGTTCCAGAATTTAATCCCTGTAGGAGCAAAATTTCTGCTCGGTTTGGTTACTTTGGCTTGTTCTAAGGCCGCTTGTGGCCGTGTGGTGACGGCAGAGTATCAAATTTTATCGAACACGCAAACTATTCGAAGACGAAAGTTGTTCATGCTAGAGGTAGTTACTCGTCCTTTTGGTTCGCATCCCGGACTAGGTACTATGGTAGAGGTTGCGAGTTCGAAACCTGCACAGTAAAAACATTTATGTGCGCTTTGAATCATTCATGTTTGCCCCAAAGAAAGGCCTGAGAGGCCGCCTGGACTTTTGCTTCACATACTAGATTACAACGCCGGATGATTGCATGTTCGAATCTTGTAGGGGTCAGAATAATGCCAGTGTGTAGAACTCGAATACTAATTCATAGACTAATGGCCTTTAAAAGTACATAATATATTACTGTTAACTCATATTTCTTTTCTACTTATGGATGTACTAACTTTCCGCCCACGGCTTCGCCCGCGTGGAATTTTGTCTGTCACAGAAAACTTTACCGCGCGCGTCTTTGTTTCAAAAACCGGGATAAAAACTATCCTATGTCCTTTCGAGGACTCAAATGTGCCAAATTTCATCAAAATTGCTTCAGTGGTTTAGGCGTGAAAGCGAGACAGACAGACAGACAGAGTTACTTTCGCATTTTATAATATTATAGTATAGATTAGTATAGATTATAATTATATTAGGTATTTACTTGTCTGGTCGTTTAAGTATGACGTCACCTTCCATTAGCATTACACTTCTAACTTTTTCTGTTGTGACATTTAAATAGTTATATCGTATAACGTATTTTTCATTTTTTTAAGTCTCTTCTTCTTCTTCGACAACAAACCTATATAGTGTCAGCCCAAAACTCCGCTACAAGAGTGGCGTTGTCGTCAGTGCAGTTTGACCACGCAGGGCACGACATCATGTGCTCCATCGACTTCATTTTTTCAAAGATTTCAAAACTTTCTCTAGCACCAATAAACCTGACAAAGAACACCCTGTGAACTGCATTAGTTCATGTTTACAATCCCACACTATGTTTACAGATGGACAGATGACACAATGGTGGTGATGTTTTATAAAGCCAAGCCTGCCTTATGAGACATTGGCCAAACTTATTACGAATCCCGACTGTGGTGGACGCAGACCTTTATAAGGTACAGTTCCTTTTAACTATTTAGAAATATTAAGTTCGTTGCGGGTCCAATGACAGTTTAACTTTCCCCCGGGACAAACTTGACCTTCTTGGGTTTTTATTGGCGGTCAAGCTGTAGATCCTGGCTACACAGTAGTTGCAGCGGTGGGAACAGTCCCGTATTTAGAAATTAGCAAGATTTTTGGTAAAAATATAGTGAGTAACCAAAGTAAGGGAAAAAACTAGGCATATTATAAGTGTACAGTTATTGATGAAAAACTATTCAGTAATTTTTATTGAAGTTTTTGTATTACTTTTAAGTTTTTGAATTATTCATCATCAAATTTTCGTTTTTATTTCCAGTAGCATTTAGTAGATTAATAATAATAAATAAATAAAAAAGACTCTACGTTAACAAGTGCCTTTAGCTAGGAAATTGTCGTAATTCCTTATAAAACATTTCCTTAAGTAAACAGTTAACTAATTATCTATTTAATTTCCAGCAAAGCAAAATTGACATGTGCCCAGAATGCGCACATTAAAGGCAGCAATCACTGGTATACTACCCATCCTTTTCCTGCTCATACAACAGAATAAGACGGAAAAATGTGAGAAGACCAAGATCGGCAACGAATACTACAAACGACAGCTCATAGCTACCATCGATGGCTATCCTACAGGAATTGTCATAGATCCCAGAACGGAGCACATATTTTTCATCCTTCATAAAAGAAACTACACGAAAGGGATACATCTACTAAAGCATGGATCTTTGGGAATCAAAGAACTGCCAGTTTCTGATGATATCAACGGCCAATGTGTGGGCATAGATGTGGCTAACAACGTCATCTACATAGGCACAAATCAAGGACTCATCACTTATGATTATTCTAGAACAGAAATCACAGCAGAAAGGCCTATAGGTGACGATGATGTCAGAGGGATATTCATTGACAAAACTGACAATCAAATGTACATTGCTACTGGGTCAAACCACGAAATTTTCCGATTTATGAACGGCTCTGCAGCGGTAAAAAGGTACGAGAAGATTCCCAAGGCGTACAGTTTCGTTTTAGATAGCAAAGGAAACGCTTTTTACGAGTATGTAGACGGAAGATTGTACTTTTTCTCCATAGATTTCTACGAGCCTATCCAATACAAAGGTTTTACTAGAGAACTGAAGTATATTCTTCAACTGAATAACAACGATGAAGCAATAGTTGCTGTGAAGGGCTCCCTGTTTAGATTATTCACGAAAAGCATTCTGCCAGTTAAAATAGGGCAACTTGGTTTCAAAATCACTGGAATGGCGTTTGATACTAAAAATAACATAGTTATTGGAACTAAAGGCAAGATTTATAGATATAAACCTGTTGATAACAACGATCCGTGCCCCCCAGATGACTATTTCATGTCTAGCATCTAAATTACATTATATTTTATGATTTTGTGACGTTTTGTGACTAAGTGTAATATATTTTTTTACTAATTGGCGTTTCATTTCTAATTCCATTGCTCTACAATACTACATCCCTCATCTTTCTTTATATTATAAGTCTTTTCTAATATTGCTATACAAAGCTTCGTGAAGGTTTGACGATATAGATAGATCATTCACGACGTGTTAGTTCCTTGGAGCACCAATAGATGGCGTTAAGTGGCCAATAAGGAATTTTTACCATTAAACTTCTAAATTCATTGAAATAATTTAATAATATAATTACTTTTTTATACAGTAAATGATAGACATAAAACAATACCAAATAAGAATTTAATAAATAATTATCATGAACACAATATGAATTCTTAATTCTCTACTATTTTAAAGATAACTTGCATATCAATACTTTTCTCAAAGAAAAATATTTTTAAACTACCATAAATGATAAAAATATGATAACACAACATAATCAAGAAAAAACATACCTACGTAGGTACTTGATAAAAAAATAAAAATGTAAAAAGGGAGTGGGCTCGTCCGGGATTTGAACCCGGGACCTCTCGCACCCTAAGCGAAAATCATACCCCTAGACCAACGAGCCGGTTGATGGTAAGTCCGAAATTATCAATGAAACGTCACTAGTGTGCTATATTTAGGTTGTTTATAGCCAGAACACTGCTAATGTATTTTTAAACCATAAGTATATGGGCGTAAGGTAAAATATTGTATGGCTTATGCCATAATTAGGTGAGTTATCGTAATACATATTATGATAACTTGAAACAAGAAAATAAATATCAATTTATTGATTGATCAGTATTTTTAGCCATTTGTATAAATAAACAATAAGTTAATAAGTAATTAGAAGTACTAATGTACCAATAGTTTATTTATAAATAATATAAAAAATTATAAATGAGCAATTTAATAAAATAAACTGTATTGTAAATAGAATTAGTTGTAACTAGATAAAATACGTTATTAAACAAAATTACATGTTGCTACTGTTGAATTGGGTGTTGTTGTTTTATTTACAACTTTAATAAAAAGATGATAAAAAGTTTTTCCTAAATTTTTAACAATAATTAGGTATCTTTTTTAAAAAAATGTATAAAATAGGCTATTCTCGGTGTTTCTTTACGAGATCGAATCAGAGAGGATCCGTAAACGAACTAAAGTCGCTGACATAGCCCGACGAATTAGCAAGCTGAAGTGGCAATGGGCAAGGCACATAGTGATTTTAACTGTAAGTAATTACAGTAGTTACAGTAAAACAATTACATCATTATCATCATCAACAGCCCTTTACAGTCCACTGCTGGACTATGAGCCTCCTCCACTATAGTGGAGGGTTTTGCCATAATCCCCATGCTTGGCAGGCGGGTTGGAGATCGCAGTTTAATAAAAGATTGATGTTTTTCAGAGAACGCTGCTGCCCGTTCTTTGTTTAATGTGTAGTCCCTAAGTCGCCTCTTACGACACCCGCGGGAAGAGTAGGGGTTGGTGACAAATGTACCTATTCTACTCTGCCGTCACCACACGGCAATGCAAAACAATTTAATTGAATTAAAAATATAAAATGTTACAAGGAACCACATCCGTTCTGACATGCACATTGTAAATATTATTTTATCGTACATCTTATTGAGGTCAATTCACTAAAACAATAGGACTAGTGATGTGATTGATGAATGTTTTACGAATTCGTACGAATAATGTGACAATGTTAATTCAGATAGGACAGACCAAGCCGCCCGAATTTACACGAATATGAAAAACTAGCTTTTGCCCTCGGCTTCACCCGTGTGAAATTTAGTTTGTCACAGATCGTCATAAATTATAGTCTAATGTTATTCTGGGTTATTATAAACATTAATACTGTACATTTTCGTCAATATCCGTTCAGTAGTTGTTGCGTGAAAGAGTAACAAACATCCAGACATCCAAACTTTCGCATTTATAATATTAGTAGGATTAGTAGGATGTATTAACGTTGCCCTTGCCTTAAAGAAGCTGTGGGCCCTAGTTCTATTCCAGGTCGGATTAACAAAAAAAAACACTTCTGAATTAACTCTTAAGTCTGCTATGGGATCGTTTCTCGCATCGTAACAAAATACTTATTGGTAGTTTCTCACATCAATATTTAATTGGTCACCAAAAATATGAAGACGAAAGGCGCAATAAAAGCTATAATTTTCAGACTAAGTAAGTCTATTATACTTGTATAGTAACTTTCGGATTTGATATTACATCGATTACCTACTACTCCTTTTTGGTGTCAATTTTATTGTATTTCACTAAGATTAACGCCAAAGTTTAATTAGCTTTCTTATACAACATCTACTTAAATGGAATATAACTGCTCTAATACCATTTTAGTGTTTCCAAAACACATAAAATTGCAGATTTATTCGTCTACATTCGCGCATAATATCGACAAGACGAATAACGAATTCGTATTACATCACTAGATGCGACCAATTACATAATTAAACGAATAGATAATGAACAATAGATCCCACGGGCAGCCCAAACTCATTGTCGGAGTGAAATTTTAGCTCTCACGCAAAAAATATAGATTGCGATCTACATGGTTGATGCTGGTGCAAAGTGTGAGAGACGTTATGTCACCTGTAGCACAGAATGTCGAACCTTTATGCTGTGCATCTTCATCATCATAATCATCATCATTTCAGCCATAGGACGTCCACGTCGTCAACAGCTAAAAATAGGCCTCCTCCAAAGATTTCCTGCACAATGACTGAAGACCTCATAAAGGCGCTGGATGCAGGCCACCACCAACCGGCCATTGTGGATAGGTATTTAAGAAGGTATTTCGATATTATAATATGAAATTAGAAAGTAAATTGGTAGCAGGTTTGGTGCACTTACGCCCTAATAAAGATAGATTCATCATCATCATCATCATTTCAGCCACAGGACGTCCACTGCTGAAGATAGGCCTCCCCCAATGATGCCAGATTGGCCGGTTGGTGGCGGCCTGCATCCAGCGCTTTCCTGCTACCTTTATGAGGTCGTTTGTCCTCTGGATTTGTGGAGTGGACGTCCTTTGATGCTGCGTTTGCCGGTACGTGTCCTCTATTCCAGAAATTAACTGCCTCCTCGCCGAGATCACAGAGTAGAATAGTATGACCACTCTCACTCTGGATGTAGTAAGAGGCGACTAAGGGACATTGAAAACATCAGGCCTCCCCAACCCGTCTGGCCAGCGTGGGGAGTGTAGGACAAATCCTCCATTTGCCTCTGGTACATTAGAGAGTCGTGCTCCTGCAGCAGAGACTAAATTAACTAAAGATGATAAGGTGCGCAAGGCTATATCAATTGTCCTCAAATGCCCTAAATTCACTTCGCCCCTTTAACTTTCCCCCGGGACAAACTTGGCCTTCACTGGTTGGGTTTTTATTGGCGGTCAAGCTGTAGATCCTGGCTACACAGGAGTTGCAGCGGTGGGAACGAGAGGTGAATAGTCCCGACCTAAAATTAGTTGATTTTCGGTAATCATTATTACGTTAATTTTGATAAATAGAAAGCCTACTAGGATGTAATAAAGCTTTCCGATAGTTCATGCGTAAAAAGTAGCAAATACTTATCCATCTACTTTCGCATTTACTTAACATTTTTTATGTAATCGCCTACAAAATATTTTTATATCTTACCTAATTTCCACTATGTACATCGGCAGTACATCAGACTATACTTATTCGATGCAAAATAGAACTTATTTCAACTACGCAAGATTCAATGTTTAGCCTCATGTGATACCTGTACTTGATACAAAAATCAACATTAAAATTCAAAAACACGAAGTAGGCCGATAAAATTATCTATGCGACTATTAATCGATTCAATATCGATAAAACGGAAACGTCCACTTCTGAGTCGAGTAACTCGATAAAAATCGAGTAGATCTCAAACTTTTTGGACCTTTGGGTAGAAAATTATTTGTTGTTTAGACCAAGGTGGACCGACGACCTCATGAAGGTATGAAGGAAGGCGTTGGATGCAGCCTCTACCAACCGGTCTTTACGGAACGAATCATTATCATAGGGAGAGGCCTATACTTATCAGTGGACGTCCTATGGCTGAAATTATCTTGATGATGAGGGACCATAAGGGGCCATGATGTCCATGATGTTTATGAAATATAAACTAAAACGAAAAGAAATACTATAACCTCCATAGAAATGGTAACCAATTTGAATCGTGTGTTTTTTCAGATTTTGGTAATCCATCAAAGCGGAGAGAGTTGTCGTTATTCCAAGTATTTCAATAAGATTTCGTTATTTCCAACTCTCCGCTCAGCTTTAGTTCGGAAATCCAATTGACATAACTGACTGTGTTTGGGAACCACTGTCATAACGGTCGCAAAGTGAACATTACACAATATTTGCATTCATTTACCGCGTTCTCGGTCCCAATGCATAAATCGTGACTTGCAAAGTTAAAATTCGGAACTTAAATGATGTTCTCTTCTTTTAACATAATACAGGGCTATTTTTAAAAAAGTAGTCTATTTACTCTATTTAGTAGGGATATGGGTTATACAAAATGGACTGACGATGTCCTGTGGCTGAAATGATGATGATGGATGATACTTAAACATTGCTCGACTTATGATTATCTATAACAAACTTGGCTTCACTTATGATTATAACAAACTTTCACTATGCGGGATCAATGGTGATAGTAGGATAAGGAGAGAATAGCTTTTCAAAACTTTTCAAACTTATTCCACCAAAATGTATGGAACAGTTTCTACCACCACTTATTCTCGCTACAACCACGAGTAATAGGTATTTGTGCCGAAATGATGATAGAGAAAGCTAAACTCTGATTTTTAATTCGACGGAATTTTGACATTTCAGAAGTGTTGTCAACATTGAATCATTCCCACTAAGAATGGAGAGCATTTTCATAAATTAAAAAATAATCCTTTCTTGAATTAAAGGTTTCACTTGAAAAACTAAGGCTTAAAAATGTAACGATCATTTCAAAATGGTTATTTGAATTTTTATTATCATACTTTT